TTATTAGGGATGCAAGGGATTGTGATATAGTAATTAAGGATAGACTTTCTTCGCCGAGTGTAGGGTTTTAAGTAATTTAGAGAGTGACGTTAAAAATTTAATGAAGAAGAAGAATTCATATACATGAGAGTGATTATCTAAACCCCTCTAACATTTCATCTCATATTATCAACTTCATCCATTCATTCTAGTGTTTTAACCTCAATGATCAAATTGCATCATGTTTGTTTTTATTGCATTTGTATTCAAAAACCCAAAAATTGTTCTTAAGTCTTAATTAGTTAAGCAATTACACAACGTTTAGATCGTGAGTCCTCTGGGATATGATACTTGGTCTTAACATTTTATATTACTTGATACAATTCGGTACACTTGCCGACATCTTAAGAAATCGCAAAGGAGGTCCAGTTGTTTTCAAGCCATTTATGAATGTTATGGCCTTCAAGAGAAGTGTTCTGTTTTGAGAAGGATAACCAATAGTTATACATCAGGAGTGTATCAATTTAGAAAATGAGGACAAATGTGAAAGAAAGGAGTAAGTCTTTTGATTTAAGAGTTTTTGGTTGATGTTATGAAACAGGTACTAGTATTTCCACATTGGAGTGGTGGAGTTCACTATTACATTGGTGTCTAAAGCAGAACCAATGTTAATAGTTCATAATGTGATAATTCCTGTTAATTGTAAGGAATGCAAGAGGTAGGTGATGGATTGGTTAGAGCAGTAGTGTTTGGACTCCGTGGTGGTGGATTGTTTAAAAGATGACTTAGATCCAAGCCCATCATTTAAGCAAAGATCCATTTACTTGAAGAATAACAAAGAAGGCTTCACAATAATTTTGAAAGCAACCCAAAACCTCTTTGCACACTCCAAATGGAAGCCCGAAGCCAACCAGAGGATCCAACAAGGAGTAGATTTTTAGGTGTTGTCGTGAAGGAGTAATTTCAAGGTAAGGAAGCTAAACATTTTCTTATTTGTGTTTGTGTTATAAATTTTGGTATCTTATAAGCTATAGAGGATTTTGAGAAATTGGTATCTTATATGTATGTCTCATGGATGATATTTAATAGTATGATGTTGTGTATATTTGGTATAGTGTGATTGTGATGCTTGATAATACATGATGAGTGTGATAATGATGTTAGTGTTGGAAACTGAATTCAAAGTAGTGGTGAGGTGAAAGGGTTAATTAAATTCTTGAGTTTTAAGTCTAAAAAGTGGGGATGAGTGAATTTAAGAAATAGGTATGAGAATGAGAAGGTAACTGGTGTAGCAGTGTTTTGTGGTTAATTGGGACTTGTTAAAAGTGTTAGAGGATTGAAAATTGATATGGTAGCAAAGAGGGGGGTTCATGGTTGAAACTTTCAATGTTTTTGTGTAAAAAGGGATTTTGAGTTGTGAGATTTGTGAAATAAGTGGTGTAAACTGTTTTGGAGAGTTTGAAGCATATTTTGAGACCATTTAAGACTTGTCTAAAGGTTCATATCAGAAAAATCTTTCATGGAAGTGTTAATTGCTTCATAGGATGAGTTTCTAGTCCATTTTGGACGTTTTAAGTGTTAGAAATTGAAAATAGGAGTTCTGAGATGAAACTGAGGTATTAGGCAAGTGTATTGGGTGATTTTTGATGACTTGTAATTGTGTTTCGATTTCTTTAATGCATGACCAATAGTCTCAGGTATTGGTGTACTATATGAATGTGAATTAATATCAATGGTTTCAAAGGTGTGGAAGAGAGTTCCAAGGAGAAGGTTCTTAGTGGTGGTTTTAAGTATTAAGTATGAATATGGGAAGCTTAGTCTTGGAGTTCCTCCTGACATTCTAATGGTCACCCCATTCTCAAGTAAAGAAGGGTGAGGCATGTCATGAGAATAGCAGGAGGTCCTAGTCTAGGGGATTTACCTTGGCCTAAGGCTATTGATAACAGACTAACCTTGTGTGATAGCTTGGGATGGGCAGTTGTTTGACCACAACAAGTGCATGAACTGCCCATAGCTCGATATTCATACTAATCGGATAGTCAAGTCAAAGGTGGTGATAAGTGTCAAAAATTACAAATATTAATCAATTATTTTAATCTCCTTTGATGTGTTTATGGATAAAATCTCATGGAAAGTTGTACAAAATGTATATATAATTAATTTTATATCAATATGAGTGTTTTTGGGTGTTTATTTTGCAGATGAATAAGGATTTGAGAAGATAAAATGGTCCATGGAATTTCAGTATTCACTATTCATGTGGCACTGTTCACGCGTTGACTGACAATGTTCATGTGTTGACTGTCACTGTTCATGCATTAACTGTCATTGTTCATGAGTTGACTTTTTGCCCAACAAGTTGACTTTCTCGCCCAACAAGTTGGCTTCACTCGCCCAGCGAGTTAACTTTTCTCGCCCAGCGAGTTGACCTCTCTTGCCCAGCAACTGCAGTGTTCTCGCCCAACGACTGGAATGTTCTCGACCAGCGAGCGGCGGCATTTTTTCCCAGTCGCCCAGCGACTCAATGATGCTCGCCCACGAGCCAAGCTTTTGGCCATTCGCCCAACGAGTGGTAGCCATTCGCCCAACGATTGTACACTTAAGCCACAAATCTTTAAAACGCGAAAATTGAAGTTCACAAGTAGTTTTGGACAGTGGAGAGTTGCCAAACTCCCAGCTCGAGTTTGGAGGATTCAAGGGCGCAAGAACACAATTTCTCACCATCCAATCCATCCATTTCTTTTCCATCTTGCTTCCATGATGTCTAGGAGTAGTAAAACTCCATTTCATGGGGTTGAAAGTAATGTACAAAACTCTATGTAAACTTTGTTGTTTTATGTTAATTTTTTATGAATCTTTGTTCTATCCTTGCTATTCATGCTTAATGATGGAAATCAGAGCCATTAGAGTGATTTGAATATTGGAAAATGCTAGGATCACGGACCTAGGTAGAACAACCAACAGAACTTAATTATAGACATAGATTGAAAACTTTTGGGCATCAATAAATCGGTCTGAATGCAAAATCTGATTCTAAGGGATTAAAGTTTGTAAAAAGATTTAGAGCTTGTCATTTGGAGACTCTCTGCTTATGTGTGATGAATGATCTTGAGGAATTGTATCTGATAGTAAAGAGCATGGAGTTTTGAACATGAAATTCAACCCCAATGAACCTAAACTCGACTGTTTTACCACTTTGTAAATTTGAACTTTTAATTAAATTGTGCATGAAAACACTGTGATATAGTTATTGTAGGTAAATTGGTAAATTTTCATAATTAGACAAAATCAAACAAATATCTTGGGAAACGATTCCGGACTTACCAGTTTATACTTGAACGATTCTGTTATTTCTGAAGAAATTTTGGACTCATCATCTGATCAAGAAAAGGAGACAAGGGAAGGTACTCACAATGGAGAAGGTTCTAGGCAAGGAAGACATACTCTTGCAGATTACAACACTTTCTCAGTGCCTTTACACTTCAATAGTATTGCAAGACTAGTGGTTAATGCCACTAATATGGAGATGAAGCCAGCTCTCATCCATTTGGTACAAAGTAATCAGTTCCATGGATTATCTCACGAAAATCCGTACATGCACTTGACCAATTTCATGGAGATCTGCAACATTATGAGGATTCACCAAGTTCCAGATGAAGTTATTTTTGTCTTAGTTTATTTCCATTCTCATTGGCTGGTAATGCAAAGATGTGGTTAAATTCTTTTCCTGAAAATAGTCTGACAGTCTGGGATGATGTAGTTGCCAAGTTTTTGAATAAAGGGAAGTAAGAAATTTCTTCTTTTCAGCAAGATATTGATGAAACTCTGGGTCAAGCCTAGGATAGATTTAAAGGCCTATTGAGGAAAACTCCAACTCTTGGGTTTGATTACCCTACAATAATCCATTTGTTCTTGGGAGGACTCAAATCTCAAACAAAGTTAATGTTAGATGCCTCAGTTGGAGGTAATGTCAGATGGAAGACGCCTGATGAAGCACATGAACTGATTGAGAATATGGTTGCAAATGATAATGAAGTTCAAAGTGAAAGAGCTCAATTTCAATAGAAAGGTGTCCTTCCACTTCAGTCTCAAGATTCTTCGCTAGCTCAGAATAAGATTATGACTCAACAACTTGAGGCATTAATGAAGAAGTTATGTCAGCTCCCTAAAGAGCTCCAAAATGTTTCTCAAGCCCAACATCAGTATTCAAAGTTGTCAATTGTTCGGTGGAGATCACAATAATGGTCAATGTGTAGTGTAGATCATGTCTCATGAAGAAGTGAACTATATGGGAAATCAAGGTCATCAGATGAATTAAATCAAGGTCAAAATTTTAATTCAAGGTTGCAGACCTCATTCGAGTGTGGGGACAAGTCGGTCCATCCAATAGACCACCTCCACAGAACTTCCAGCAATATCCTACTCTAATGGACAGAACTTCAAAACTGGAAGAAACCCTTCAACAGTTTATGCAGGTATCAATCTCCAACTACAAAAGTATTGAAGCTTCAATTCGTAACTTGGAGATTCAATTGGGCTACCTAGCTAAGAAGTTGGAAGAAAAACCTGAGAAGAAGTTTGTGGCTAACACTGAAGTTAATCCAAGGGAGGAGTGTAAAGCCATCACTACAAGTTCAGGAAGGGTGTTAGAAGAAAGAGGGCATGAGAGAGAAGAGCAAGAAAGAGATAAGGGGAGTGTTGAGAAGAGAGATGACATGAGTGAAGAAACACTACAAGAAAATAGCTAGTTACCCGCGGATCATTATATACGGATTAGATGGTATGTAATAAACATATTATATACGGATCTTATATACGGATATTGGGAAATCCATTATATACGGATAATCCGTATATAATATAAAAATATTTATATACGGAGGATCCGTATATAATTACCGTACAACGTTGGCGCCTTTGAACTTGAAGCTTTGTAGGGATAGTTCGTATCTAATATCTGTGTATAAGCTGATTTAGAAAAAAAAA